TCGTTATTACATTTTAAAAAAATAAAAAATATAATTGCATATATAGTCATTTTTCATCATGTAATTTTATAATAGTTTCTCACTTAATTTATGATATAAAAAAAACTTTACATTCACACATATACAACAATAAACAAAATTGCATCTACCAGCCAAATACTTTAAAAAAATATCTGAATTCTTTTATCGCACCGCTGTTTTTTAATATTAACGTATACATATTCATACATAATATTTGTATGGCATAAATAATAACCGATGCTCACATACAAGGCACACACATTTATATTTCACAAAAAAAAAACCCCACCAAAAACAAAATGGAGAAAATAAATTTTATTATTTGCGTATAAAAATCATGACTTTTTTTTTAATAAATAGTTTTTATTTGCAAATATTTTGATAAATTGTTTTAATTTTCATTCATTTGATATACTCCCGAATTGCCCTAGTACCTATTAAAAATTTTAGGTATTTTTCCTCATAATAATTGTATAACAGGTAACACAGTAATAAGGCAACAATCATAATTAAAAATTACAATACATTAGAATCTTTACTCTACTAAAGAACTTGAACTTCGTAGATATTTTGAATTATTGACGATAATTAAAAGTTTATTGTAATTATTTTTAAGCGAACAAAAACTTCTTTTGAGCAAAATAGTTAAGTGTGGCAATCACTCTTTATTTCAACCCAAAAATTTATATTATTTTGCTTCAAAACGCTGAGAATTTGATTGTGCTGTATTTTGAAGTAAATAAGGTTTTTAAAGAAAGAAAGTCAATTGTAGAACACATTCTTACATGCGTTTGGATTGTGAAAACTTTAAAAATTCAATAGCAATATTACTGTTAATTTGAATTGTTGTTTATTAACAACATTCGTCCGTCTCTTCATTGACGTTTTCGTTTTTCACATTTTGTGGAAAAGTTTATGAATGGCAAAATTTTTCACCCCTCTGTTGACCGCAGCGTATGACAAGAGAAAAAACTTTTAGGTTTAACGCAAAAAATGCAATTACCTTAATTTGATTCTAAATTGCACTATAGTGCAAATTACTTTTTTGAGGTGCATTGAAAGGTTGGAAAGTGCTACAAACAGACCGAAAACTCCTTTTGAAAGTTTTACAAAACGGCCTAACCTATATCTTAAAAACCCGTATTAAATATATTTTTTATTTTAATTTGTTTTTTTTTTTTGCAAAAAACTCTTATAACATTGTAATAAATTAAGTCAAAAAAAAAACATCTTCATTTTATTGAATTTAGCCACCAATTTTTATTGAACATGAATAAAATCACGAGATTCCAAATTTGAGAGCGGACAACAAAAATCAGAAAAACCAAAAGGCGAAACCACAATTTGAATAAATGGCTTCATTTTTTATTAAATTTTTTTTTTAATTTTCATTATTTAATTTTTTTTTTATAAAGTTTATTTAAACTTTTGTGTTTTATAAATCATTATTTGATGTCATATTTTATTTTTTCCCCATTTTGTTTTTTTTTTAAATCAAGTTTTCATTTAATGGTAAAATGAAAAGTTAAAAATGAAAAATTGCAATGAATTTAATTACAGCAATTCTTGGACTTGCACTAAATAAACGACGAAAAAAAAAGATGGAGGAAAAAGAAAAAATTTAAATGCACAAGTGGCATTCATTTATGTTGTATATGAAAAAATTATGCCTTACTCAAGTTCATGGTGAATAATAAGAGTAGTAGAGAAAAATGGAGTTTTTAAAAATAAATAATTTTATTGAAAAATTTGAATGAAAATGAACTTGTATAGCATGTACATGTAAAACAATTCGACTACTTCTACACCTTAGCGGAAGAAACTTTTTTTTGGAAAAAAAATCTTTAAATAATTTTTTTCGCTTACTCTACTTTATGGCAAATGGACCCACTTTTTATATACATATGTAAAAAAAATATACTTATTAATTAGCGTATTTGTGTGTAATGTGCGTATTTGTGGGTAATAGAGCCTAAAAAGTTAACAGAAGAATATTAGAGATTTTTAATTTTTGTTTTATTGACTAGAAATTTTTAAAGCTTAAATTCGTAATTTCAAAAATAAAATGAATTTTATATGCGATCCAATTTTTAAAAGATCGCTTTTATTTTCACTATAATATAAAAATGAACCAAATATACAAACACATAAATATATGTACAATTTATAATTTATAACCAACTATACCATTTGGTTAACAATTAAATGTGCGTAATAGAGAAAAAGTACCATTTATTATTTTTGTGCAATTTTTTTTTGTTCGTATCTCTTCAATTCATCATTTTTATTTTGAATACAAAAGAATGAAATGATAAAATTGGGAATTTATGCAATTTATTAAAATTTGTATGCACACCATATATATATGTATACACAATATGTATATATATAAAAATATTTTTATTTTTTTACTCCTTTTATTATCTTTGGAACTCATACTATACATGTAGAGCTCATCCATATACATATAGAAGGCACTCATTCTTCTTCACTTCTCGAAATGAGTTCAATGAGTTTTTTTTTATTAATTTTAACATTTTTTAATTTTTTTCTTTAATAAAGGATTGGCAAAAAAAAAAGCTTTTTATATGTTATAGAAGAAAAATTTTTTTTATATAGTTTATTCATTTTCAAAAAAAAGGCAATTTCAAAACAAAAAAAAAGAACAAAAATTATGTACTTTACTATTTTTGATGAAGATCCTTCATTGTTATCCTTTTATTTCACTTTGATTATTTTGTTAAATTTTAGTGTATTGGCGTTAACAGCAATAATGAAAATATTTTTCTCTTTTTTTTTTTTTTGGAAAAAAATCTTTAAATAATTCTTTTTCGCTTATACAATACTCTACTTTACATCATATGGCAAATGGACCCACTTTTTATATATGTAAAAAAAAATATCAAAATTTACAAATTCGAAAAACAAAAATCACAATTTTAAAAGGTAAAATTGTTTCAGGAACTCATAAAATTATTTATCTATACATTTATGTTCGCTTTTCATTTTAAACAAAAAATTTTCAAAATGTCGTTAACGTAGTTATGGCCTTTGTTGGTACAGTTTTGGCGCTCTTTTTGCAATAAGCCAATGCTCTTTTCATCGTATATTTACGTTTACTCAAATAATTTACGGCATATACGAAATGTTCGGTTTCATATTTATTGAGATAAATAATAAGCATCGAATCAAGTTTTGATAAGAGAATTTTCTAATCTCATTAATTCAAAATAAATAGAATAATTTTAACATTTCCTACAACAGCCGTCGTAAAAGTGAGGCTCATAGAGAACATGCTGCCTATTCAACTTCAAAATGCGTCCGCTATCCTGTTTGCAAGAAGAATAAAAAAATTCGATTGCGAATATTAAAATTTGAAATTTTTTTTTTTAAATTTTAGAAACTCAATCGATAATTTAGATATATGTATATATGTAGGTACATAACATTCCATACAAATTTATTATTTACAAATTTATTGTAAGAGAACAAAAGCTAAAAGTTTAAGATAATTTTCTCATTTGCAAAAAAAAAATAAACGAACGCAAATTTACAAAGATTTGAAAGTTTTTGATAAATGTCAACAAATATCATATTTTTGTTATTTTTGAATTTTATTTTTTTTACATGTATGTAAGTAATGTAAGAAACTCGAGTGACCATACTCAAACTGCTTCTGCCTAAGTTTTCAAATTAAATTTCAATTCAATAAACAATATTTGAGAACCACTGTGATTAATTTAATTGCAATATTGAATACTGAATTGCTTTTCTACTTTCACTATATTGAATATAAAAAATAGAAATATAATATAGAACAATTTCGCGAAATTAATTCCCATGAGTAATTCAATAAAAAAGAATAATAATATTATTACAATGTACATATTTATATGTACATTCATATGTATGTTAACATACATATATGCGTTAATTTTCCTTTAAAATATAAAGAATTTTTTTTTGTTATATTTAATGGGCGACGGATGAAAGGGTTTTTTGAAACATTTTCCTATTTTTTTTTCTGTTACTGAACCTCTATTACACTTTTGATTACTTATGACTTTTTGATTAAATTGTTAAAAATCAGCAATTGAAAATTTTATATATACATATGTATTTGTAGTCAAAAAATTGATGTAAGTAAAATTTCAATACAAAACGTCCTTTTTATTGAAAAAAAACATTGCAATAAAACAAAAAGCAGAAAAAAATTTCAATTGCAATATATAAAATATTTTTAATTTATACAACAAATGCAGCACTTTTTAAGTTCCAGAAAAAAATTAAAAAAAAATCTCAAAAATATTCGAGAATTTTATTTTACTAAATTTTCCCTTTTACATTTTAAAAGCTAAAATAATTGGGATGCAATATATAGACAATACAAATTACACAAAAGAGTTCTTTGGTATTAATAAAAATATATTTGAAGTGCTCGTCTAAGTCGAAACAAAACAATTGGTGTCCAAAATTTAAACTTACACATTTTTAAAAAAATACACTATAACTTTAATATCATCATCTACATATCAGCAAAATAAGGGATTTCAAAAATTACATAAAAATAACAATTTAATTACCTTTTAATTAATATCTGTGTAGTTTTGCAAATTTTTAAAATTTTTCGAAAAGTACGTCGTTTTTAAAGGCTTTATTGTATATTGATTCCTTCTAATCTATCAGTTAGTACAATAACTGCGATTCTCTCAAAGCTCACATAATATCTTTATATACAATACTCGATAGGTATGTAGGTACTCGTACCATCGCCGTTTTTCCTGTTGAGTTTTTGGGATTCTTTATGAAAACTTCTTATTAAAATTTAAGTTTACTATTTTCAGCACATATTTATTTTGGAAATATCTTGTGATATACATTAATTATAATATGATAATAAAAAATATAAATTAATTTTTTTTAAATACTCTAAGGTTAAATCTAAATTTTAAAATTAGGATTTTTTTTTATCCTTCTAGGATCGATTCATGTTAAATGAGGAACTTTTTCAAATTGGAAATAGACAATATGTAAGAAATGAAAACTTTTTTTTTAATTTAGTTTTATTATTAAAAAGCATCACTTTACACAATGTACAACAATACTAACACATTTCCATGTACAAACTGATATCTGAATTGTAAAAAAATGCAGTAAAATGTGATAAAAACCATATTGAAAAAGGTCTCATTCTTACAATTCGCATATCAGCCAAACTTTTACTAAACTTATAATTTATTTGGAAATTTTATGTTATTTATATGTTAAATTATATTTAGAAGATTAATTGAGAATAAATCTTGTTATACTATCCAAAATATACAAAATATGAGTGAAACGAGAATAGATAAACTTGATCGTATCAACCTTGTAGTAATCGTCCGAATGAATGTTTAAAATGTGTTGCCACACGGACACATAATCTATTTTTTCGAAAGCGGTGTTTTTATTGAAATAATTTATAAATAAATAGATCACATAATGGTGCGGTTCCTGAATATTTATTTATGTCTATAAATCTTGTCACATTTCTGAACGAAAGAACAAAATCAACACAAAGCGCATATAGTAAAACTTGTCGAAGCTGAAAATGCAAGGAACCGAAAATTTTTTTCCAACTCAGACAGTTTTCTGGGATATACAAGTTGAAATATAATTATGTATTTTTGTTTAATGATTAAGTTTAAAATCCTTTTCATTATATTTATATCCAAAATAGAATTCAAATTATTGTCATGCAAAACTAATTTAATTACGATTATGAATGTGTGCCTTTCTTAATTTGACCAAAATGTAATATGCAATAGCCGCCAAAATACAATAATGAAACAAACGATAAATAAAAAAAAAAATATGTACATATACGAGTATATTATGTTAATCGCAATGTGACAGAAACTCAATAATGACATTTGTGACACAAATGTCTTAATTTCCGGCATTGCCATGTTGCAAATAAATAAAAAATTCCAAAATTTACAAATGCTCCCTCCATGTAACGCGTTTGACAAGTTTTTCGGTTTTTTCATATATAAAAAATTCTTTAGGAACAGCAGAATTGGAGTTTTTCTCTCATAGTCAAGTTCTTGTCTTTGACAATGTCAATCTCTGACAAGTTTTATTATATAAATATTCAATTTACTTTTCTAATTTAGCAAATACTATAAAATTTGAGACATTCAAAATATAAAATTTCACATAGAAAATAAGCTGAAATAAAAACAGAAAATTCGCGTGCGAGTCATAAAATCCTTTTACTTATAATTTATATAAAAATTTTCATATATACTAATAGCAACGATATTTTATTTTTTAAATCCGGTTGTTATTAGAAAAATTCAAACGATGAAAAATAATAAAAAAAAAAGGAAAAAAATGTAGTCGTTAAATTAAACGATATGTTCCAATTTTTTTTTTTTTTCCAAAAAAAAAATTTCACTGTCGTAATATTTCTCAATCTGTTCGACATATTATACGCAATTTAGTTAAATCTATAATAAATTTTGTCAGGTAATAAAAACTGAAAATAAAAAACAAAAATTATATACATATGTATACATTAGAATTCACAAACATTTATACATATACATATAAATACCAAGGAATGTATGGTATGTATATGTAAATGTATAGGTGTTTAATTATAACAAGAAAAAAAAATCTTAAGTCTTTTGGTAAAGGTGCAAAATTTTAAATTTTTTCTCTGGTGGCAGACTTTTTATTATATAAACTAGTGGGTAATACATATGTATTACGTATGTATGTACATAAAAATTACGATCATTGAATGAATGAAAATTTTAATAAAAACTTTGAAATTCTAAAATAAAAAATAATTTGTTTCACACTTCTACATTTCGGCACTGCAAAACAAAAACATTATCTGTACCTCAAACAAATAAAAATCATAAATTGAATTTTTTATGTTTGTGTCAAAGTTATGGATCTCCGCTTTTTTTATTAAACAAAAAAAATTTAATAATTTTTTATTTTTTTTAAAAAAAGTTTTAGAACTAAAATAAGGTTGTTAATGAGGTTGATTTGAATTTTTTTCAATTATTTCCTTCAAAAAAAAAAACTGCCCTGGTTTACCAATTATAAAGTCGAAACAAATATTGTCAATTATTGTACATACGTAATTTACAATATGAAAGGTCAATAATATAACAATTTTATTAAATTATACAAGACAGATCAAAATTTCTAAAACTAAAACGACTGAACTATAAACTTTAGGCAAAAAATCGAAAAATTAAGTTACATTGAAGTATAGTCTATTAGAAAAATTATTTTTTATATTATATTTTGCCGAAATTGATATGTTTTTGAAGCGACTTGCACAAAACATTTCTATCTCGCCCATACCCAGCGAATAATGATTATTATTACTTATGAGCTATTATAACTAAAAATTTAATCTGGGAACAAGTAGTTAGGTAAAAATTTAAAAAAATAGAATGACTAAAGTTCTACCAGTTCCCAAATTTTTGCAATACAAAACGAAATATGACATAAATTTTGATAAAACACTGATTCAACAAAAATTTAAGTACAGGAGCGTACGAACAGACCGAATAGACGCCTTTCTATATGCAATTTTACTGAATTTACTTAAGAATAAAAAAATTGTTTTTGTGTCACGATTTGAATATCGAAAAATATACGGTCCCCTCTTAGTTGAAATTGTCTAATTAAAAATATTCCAAATTTTAATTTATAAAGATACTAAATAAAATTTGAACTCTGACGCTATTATAATATTTAGTCACAATAATATTTACATAATATGCAATATTTTAATTATATATATACGTGCATAGGCATATATGTATGAGCAATATTTTTAGACATCTAAATTCTAACAAATTATGTAGATCTTGTTAACTAATTAAAAAGCCATAAAATTTCTTTTTCTATTTTATTTTTCTAAATAAGAAAACAATTATTTAGAAATTTATATTTACATCATACAGATTTCAAACTTTCATACAAATAAAATTTCCATGTTTTGTGTAGAAAAAGAACTTGTATTTTGTGTTTTCTGGTTGTAACCCTTCTAGACACAATTTTTTTGAGCTTTTTTAACAGGTGCTAAAACAAGTCTTTTGCTATTAAACACTAGATAAACTTTATAAATAATGTCAAAAATTTATTATACTTTAATATTTCTTATTTATTATACTTATTGTACTATGTATTTCTCATTTACAATTATTAATTAAAATACGCACTTGTTAGTCAACTATAATATTCGATTAGAATGTATGTATTTCGATCGAGTTATTCTGCAAGAATAAGTATAATAATATAAGAATAATACTGCAAAGAATAAGAAAAGATATCTGTTTATATGTACTGCAGAAATTGCGATGTAATAATATAATACAACATATATATATATGTATGTACACGGTATTCTCAAACTCTTTATACATATTATGCTATGGAACTTCATTTACAATTTGTTTCACTGGTTAAATTTCAAATATCTGTATAAATACTCGTATACTTGTGAAAAGTTTTATACTCACATTATGTTATACGATATGCAAATGTGTGCGTGTAAATAAGTTTTTTTTCTTCTAATCCGATACGTTCATATTATAGATAAATTTGTTTATTGCAGTATAGAATGTATGTATTTTTAATTAAATTACTGCGTATTATTTTGAAAAATATTTTCATAAAACCAAAAACGAAAAAAAACAAAGCAGATTGACAGCTCTAAAATTAAAGGATGACGTAAAATTCTATAAAAACTAATGTTAATTTTAAAGTCTTGAGTTAATACACAATTTCATTTTATATGTACATATGTACATATATGAAAAAAACATATATATTATGTACTCAAGGTAAATATTATTCTAAATATTTTGTTTCATTAAAGAAGAAAATGAAAATTCATTCATACCTACAAAACACTGTTCACATCGAATTTGCACTTCATATATCGATATGTTTACATTTAATGTACAAATTACCTGAAATGAAAACTATCGCAAGTTCATTTTTGAGTAAGACTTTTGTTTTTGTTTTCATTTATAAAACATATAGGCTACATTCGGAGTTCTCATTTAGTAAAACATAGTTCAAAAATTTTTGTGTCTCTTATACTAATAAACTCCAAACCTTACTAACTCTTCACCATTTCCTTTTCCATTTCCGTCAAATGATAATGATTTTGTTGGGGAATTCGACAGCAGCATTTTGTGCGTTTATATGATGATTATTTTGGCTCTTTCGTGCAATATTAATTCACACGATGATTGATGCTTGGTATAAGTTTCAAAAATTGCGACAAAGTGCCCTTACTCGTTTTCCACAATCGTATTGATGCCAAGAAAAACTATGAAACTATTTTTGTAATTTTGTAAGATACTTCACAATAACTTCAAGGAGACGATTATATCTAAATAAAAAACAAACTGAAAATTGCTCTCCTGAAAAATTTTTTAAATGCGACTTAGAATTTGTTCTGACCTAAGACTACATGTAATAAAATGTAATTTTAACGAATGTCCATGGGTAGATGATGTGTTAGTTTAATGATTTGAATGAAACTTAGACTTTTTGTATAGCAAAATATTACTACAATTAAAATAATTTTTTTTGTAAAAAAAATAAAAAACATAGACCATAATTTCAAATGACTCAATTTAGATTCCTGTGTGACTAAATTTACTGATAATTTTTATTAAATATTTTTTTTCGCTTTTTTTTATTTTATACATGCAAATTATATTCATTATCTTTAATAATATATAAATACATACATATAAATTCATAATTACATTCAAATATAAAAAAGAACAATGTGGAATTATAAAAATAACACAAAGCGTAATGCGATTTAATAGTAAGGTACATGTTTAAATTTTTTATGTTTTTATTATTTTTTTCTTATTTCTGTACTAATTTTTATGTATGTTTTTAATTTTGAAAAGCTGATAACAATTTTAGTTAATAGTTCTAATCAAATCGTTCAATGAATTTTATTTAATACAAAAAAAAAATTTTTTTTATATAT